TCCTCTGGACACATTCCAGCTTGTCAATATCTCTCTGCAATTGTGGTGCCCAGAATTGGACACAATATTCCAAAATCTCCTCTTGGAGATGGATGGGGTGGCTGGAGGCATTTTGTGCCATATGTAAGCCAACTCAAGTCCCTTCAGGGAGATGGAGGCAGGGTACAAAATAAAGTTGTTGTTCTTGTTCTTGTTGTTCTTGTTGTTGTCGTCATCATCACCATCATTATCATCTTCACCTCAGAGAGGTAGCTGGCCAATTTAAGCCTAGAATTGGTCTTTTAAAGAATAGAAAATGCACAATAAATTGATTATGTTCAAGTCTTGTTAATGGCCCACGTAAGCTAAAACATGGTGATGATGCTTCCAGTGTTATCTAAAAGAGTGTCTGAGAACCTTTGGGAAACACCCATTTTGTATTTCGTTTGCAGAGGAGGCTGATCCTTTAATGGTTTCCTGAGAAGTCAGAGCATCTCCCAGTCTTCCATGCTGGCTCACTCATTTATTATGTTCTTAATTCTATAAACCCAGACATTTCCATAGGTACGTTGTGCATCTACACTGTAGAACAAATGCAGTTTGACACCACTTCTGCTGCCAGGGTTCAATGCTATAGAATCCCGGGTACTGTCATTTTCCAAGGTCTTTAGCCTTCTCTCCCCAACTACAACTCCCCAAATTCCATAGCACTGAGTCCTGTTAAAATGGAGTCAAACTGCATTTATTCTACAGTGTAGATGTGTCTGTAGGTAGAGATATAATCCAAGATCTTATATTTCAATTGCTACGTATATCGCCATTTGGGAATATGCACATTGATTGTGCTGCTGAATGCTTGGTCAAATGGCAATGCAGTGGGCATTAATATAAATGTATCTGAGTGCACAAATGAATATGGAGCAACTGAATGCACAACCAAATATGCCTTCAGATGGTTCAGATGGAAAGTGCTAACTCCTTTCGTAAGAAAGTTTACACTTTTAAAGTCTCCAATATGATTTCACCCTATTTCCAAGTTTCTTATCTCCTTCTGGGCTGCTTCTTCCATGGATTGCCTTTGACTTGCAACATGTGCTGCTACCTAGCTTGGTTTTAATGTGTTTAGACAGTAAATAATATTTTTGTCCTGTCTCACATTTGAAAATATTTCATTTTTACATGAATTTTGTATACATTATTCCATGATCTATACACTGCCATATAATGCAGTTTGGAACATCAGTATATGGTCAGTGTAGACTCATGTATGATAAGAAACAAATTCTTATCATGTATGATAAGAAACAAATTGGTATGATAAGAAACAAAGATGGCAGGGACCTAACAGAAGCTGAAGAGATCAAGAGAAGGTGGCGAGACTATACAGAAGATCTGTATAGGAAGGATAATAATATTGAGGATAGTTT